GCTACAGCCGTATTCTTTACCGGTCTCCTCTTGCTATGGGAATATCGCCTCATCCATCGGTTACGCAGATATGTGGTATCTTTCTTCTTGATAACGGAGAAGCAGCAAGTGCAGGAACAGTTGACCCAGGGCGCGGCGAGAGAGAAGGCTGACGTACAAGATAAATTGGCACAGATTAAAGCCAAACGAAGTAAGTTTTTCAAACTATAAGTAGGTATAGGCAGCAATCTTTTAATTGCTGTTACATAGATGCTCAGAAGAGTTACTGGATGAAACTGGGTAGATATTTTAGACTTAGTGTCGTGACTTAGCCTTAACCAAGCAGATAGGTAGCATCTACAGGACTACACCAAAGATATACAGAGATCGCTTTTAGCGATAAGAACGCCTAAATTGTGCCGTATCTTTTGTATATTTCTTTCTTTATCTTTTCTTGTCCTGTAGGTCGTACAACAAGTGTGTCCTATCTATCTACATTTAAATGTCTACCTTAATAAAAGTAGTTAACATTTTGGTCCTGCCATTTTTAAATATAAAAGCAAAAAAGAGTCACCATAAACTTTGTCATACCAGGCGAGAAGGTGGTCACGTACGGGGAATACCTGCTAGCAGTCAACGTCTCGAAGAAGGAAACGGGCATGTTCATCCTTCGCAACATCCACCTAGGGCTGGGCAAGGGGGAGGTGCTAGCACTGTCCGGGCTGAAGAGACACGGTCGGCTGAAGTTATGCGAGATCCTCGCCGGGTACAAGATACCGAGTGCGGGCGAGGCGTGGTGCATGTCCAAGTGGACGCTGAAGTCGGAACCTTATTATGTAAGTTTATTTAGAGGAGATAAGTCGTCAGGCAAAGCCATTGCTTCTTATACCTAGTTGTAAGGCTGAAGAGATGCGGCTGACTGAAGCTGTGCTAGATCCTCGCCGGGTACAAGATACCGAGCGCAGGGGAGGCGTGGTGCATGTCCAAGTGGACGCTGAAGTCGGAGCCTTATTATGTAAGTTTATTTAGAGGAGATAAGTCGTCAGGCAAAGCCATTGCTTCTTATACCTAGTTGTAAGGCTGAAGAGACACGGCCGGCTAAAGCTGTGCGAGATCCTGGCCGGGTATAAGATACCGAGTGCGGGGGAGGCGTGGTGTATGTCCAAGTGGACGCTGAAGTCGGAGCCTTATTATGTAAGTTAAGAGACAGCTCATCCAGCAACGCACTGTGACTTCTTACATCTACTTAGTTGTAAGTCTGAAAAGACACGGCCGGCTGAAGCTGTGCGAGATCCTGGCCGGGTACAAGATACCGAGCTCGGGGGAGGCGTGGTGCACAAGTGGACCCTGAATAATGAGCCTTTTTATATAAGTTTATAGAAGACAGCTAAGTAATCAAAAAAAGCACTGTGACATCTTATACCTAGTTATGAGGCTGAAGAGACACGGCTGACTGAAGCTGTGCGAATTCCTGGCCGGGTACAAGATAAAGAGCACGGGGAAGGCGTGGTGCATGTCCAAGTGAACGCTGAAGTCCGAACCTTATGTAGGTACATAGGAGACAGCTCGATGCAAAGTACAATGTGGCCTTTGTTCACGTTAATATTGATGATTATCCACCAGATTTTTTAAGTAAAATTCTTACTTCAATTCTCTTTTACCATTATGTTTCAGTACTCCCGTAACATCTCACTCTGCTGCGAAAGGGAGCCTCTTCCTACCTGGATGCGTGTGTACGACGCCTTAGTATTCATAGCCGTGCTGCGTGGAGTACCATGGAAATACGTTCACAATGAGCTACAGAACTATATTGATGCTTTAGGTAAGATACTGATTTGCTTCTGTACCTCTTTCGTCTTCGAATCGTTTCCATATTCGACAAAATTCGATACTCAACCGTCGAATCAAACGATAACGTGACAATTTTGATTCTCAAAATAAGTTTCGTGCAACCATTTCTCATACTAAGTTCACTTTACGACACGTTCACAAGGGCGCTGTTGTAGTTTTCGTAACTATAAGTAAATCTTTTGATGGCGATTCGAATCATGGACCTATAAAAAAAGTCGGACGGAGTCTCATCAACAAAATACTGTGATATTAGGATACACCAGCTTGCCTGTACGTACAGGCCGGCACGCACACATTCACACCCTGTTACACCACTTCGAGAGCAAACTTCACACAGTTGACACATTTAAGCAGCGAAAAAACAACACGAATAGGACATGTCTTGTGTGATGAAATTGTGTAAAACCGTTCTGTTCGAACAAACAAAAATTAAGGAATCACATTTCACAGGTAAAATAATAATCCAATCACTTATTTTCCGACATTAAAATATTGAAATTAATTGAAATCAAACGTCATTCACTCGAAAAAATAATACGTCAAAGACCAGTGTTCTCAGTTATTTACGTGGGAAAATTACCCGAAATATGGGAAATTAATAATGATTTTAGGACTTTTTAGTTATGTATTACGCATACTATGGAAATAAAATAATTTATCATAATTATTGTGTTTTAATGGGATATATTTTCATAGGCAAATTTGATCCTTCCCAAAAATGTGGAACTGCGAAATTCAAATTTTCTTACATTGATTGCAAGTCAGTGTCAGGTTGTATGTTAAAAAATATCTATCAGAGATAATAATAATATATTGATGATGCATAAGATTATGATTATAATGTACACAAGATTCGTAATTTGTAACTGCGTGAATTATTTTTGATCAACATTATGTACATACCCTGACACACTGACTTGCAAACAATGTAAGAAAATTTGAACATTGAAAATTTCGCGCCTACCTCAACGCATACACCTTTCATCCTTTTAAAATGGCACGGAATAATTCTGTCTACATTTCCAAGTAACATCTGCCGATCTATGTTTTTCTTAAAATAAATGGGTAAAATGTTTTGGCTAACATGGCATCCCTAAATTCACTCACACAATAGACAAACGCCAAAATTTTGCGTCACAGTTTTGTTGTAGCGCGAGTTCCGTCCGCCTTTTTTTATAGGTCCATGATTCGAATACGCAAACGATTCGAACTCGAAAGTTTTTCGTCCTAGCCGTACCTACTGATTTTTTTTTATGCAAGACAAGGCACGTATTTGACCGCAATCTGAGACTGCTTTGCTTTTGCTTTGTAATCTGCTAATAACATTGTCAGCTTAGTTTTTTAAAAAAAGCCACTAAGATTTTCATTTAACTTTTACATAAGCAGCCTATCTATGCAGCTGTGATTAGCTATATGCTTGCCTTCAGAACTTCACGATCAAGCCCACACTCGTATCTGCGACTTGCTACCTAATGAGAAGACCCGTCTGCACTTCGCGGCTGCAGTCGTCGGCGCACCAGCTGTCTTGATCCTGGACGAGTGCACGGCCTACCAGAAGTACTCCGTCAGGAGGGCCATGTACTACATACTGTACACGCTGAAGAAGCGCGGTCACGGCATTTTCATCTGTTCTAGCAAGTATGTGAAGTCATACTTAGTTTTCAAACTTCCATAACAAGGAACTTGTAATAGGATCACCATAAATGTTGAATACTTTACTTGACAGCTATATTTAAGGTGCAATTTAATGCGTTTATGTAAAAGGAACCACTACTACTTATGTAGCCGAAATGAGCAGGTAAATATGGAACTTCAAAAGGATAGCTTAGTAATAGCTAGATGAAAAAATTGTAGCGTTCCTTAACGGCTGCGTTCAGCAATGCTGCTGAAAGATGAGTTGCTATGAATATTATTAATCCTTCTGCGTATTTTACAAAACTTGATATTCTGGTCTTTCTCAAGGCTTCACTCAATTTTGCTTTTGCTTATTTGTTCAATTTTGCTTATGTTTATTTTTAATTAACAGTGTCGAAAGCCACTTGCCAGTGACGAGCAACCTGGCTATCTTAGTGGACGGACACATTTACGACATCGACACCGTAGACGCCCTGGTGGAGCGGTACAGCCATAAAGGCTACACGGTCGTGGTGCACCTCAAGGATGAGGTGGAGGTCACGAGCATGTTCGCGGAGCACTTTCGAAACTTCGTCATCAATGATATGACTGAGGTACTAAAATAGATCCTTGTACCAGTCCTTAACATTTTAGCTCACGTAACGTAAAAAAAGAAAACCCTATTCAACCTGCACCTAAGAGAGCTTTTTCAAATAAATATACTTTACTTAGTTATTAACTTTCTCCTAATACTCTGAACAATCGTAGCTATAGAGCCGCTACAGCTAAGCTCTAAAGCCTTTCATAATTCAAATTCATAGACCGGCAGTCACAGTCGGGCAGTTCTCCTTATATTTTACGTAGGTATACCTACTTAAGTGCGTTTTTGTTGGCAGGTATTAGTCAACATACAAGTTCTAGACAACGACCTTAACTGGTCAGAAATTTTCGAAAAGATGGAGTTGCTTCAAGCGCAGAACCCTCAAGTATACTCGTACATAGTGTCTGCTATCCCCATTGATTACATCTACAATTCGATCATCACCAACGAGCAGGGTTTGACGCCGTCTACGGACTTTTTCTCCGTGTTCTGCATGAAAAATGCCTTCGCGCAACAAACCAGGAGGAGGCCATGGCCAGAAACAACTAGCAGACTGCGGACTTTTGAAAAGAAGTATGACATTACTAGACTGAAGGAGTTGCCGTGGTCAGTCATATTCCAGAGGTAGATTTGATTTAGTTGTTTTCAGTTCTTGTGAAAGTAGGTATTTTGTTAAGTTGATAACATAATTATGTTTAGTTTTTGTTATTATGCGCGTTAAGTTTTCAGTATTCGAGCTCAAAACTTAACACAGGCCAGTCTTAAAATGAGTCGCCGACCAACACTGCGGCGGTTAAAGGGTTAAGAAGGGTATGAGATTATGTTAAAATTATACAATATGATATGTTATTATTAATTAAGCACCAAGCAGGTTGATTGTTATAAGGACAATACTAAAGCAAAGCAATTAGCTATTATATTTAGTGGTTATTTATAATAATAAATAAAATATGTGTTAATGTAATGATAGTTTAATTTTTGAGACTAGATTAGTATTTGTGAGTAATACTGACATATAATATACAATACAACATACACCTAATAATAAAACATACAGCAAGCATTCCTCCAAAGACCCACTCAAATACAAAGTCCCTGACCCCACATCTCACCAACACATTGCTACAAGTATGGAAAAACTTAACTTTCCAGTAGAATTGTGAATTTGTGGCCATTTTACATGAACAGCAAATCCAGGCACATTTATGGAAAACAAATGAACAGTGTATTTTCTTAATTAATTTTTCATGTTTCTGTATGCATGATCTGCTGTCAATATAAAATGTGTGTGTGAGCAAGATCTATGTGAAAATGTAATGTGAAAAATATTAGTATGATGAGCCAAGCATTATGTAGAAAACATTGTTAGTAAGATGTGTGAGAGTCAATTATGTTAATAATAAAAGATAATCTAATTACTAATGCAATGTAGTGTGAGACCTATGCAGTTCTGCTGTGGAACCCCTTGCATGGGCCATCATATTCTCTATTCTATTAGTGGTTTCCCTAACCATAGAGAACTCAGACAAGTCCGGCAAATCAAGAACAATATGAGCTGAGAGACGTTTATAAACTGAACTAGAATCTTTTTTATTTCTCCTAGCTTCTTCATACTTTAACTGTTGCTTTAAAAAAATTGATTGCTTCAGCATATCTTGGATGTTCTGGAAGCTGGTTGCAGCACCATCCATGGACTTTACGGCTCTGAAAATAATATTCATACCATCTTGAAACGTTTCATAATTACGCCAAATTCATAAGGGGTTTACTAAATAAAGGCATACCCTAGTGCGTACTCCACATCGTAACACCTGCCTTGCAGTTCATGCTGTAGTTTAGTGACTTCAACTCGCCTTTCTACCATCGGCGGAAGGGCCTTCCTAACGTGCTCCTGTAGCCTGAACAGCGCCAGAGAAGGCTCATTGGCAACGATGTGCATGTTCTCTGATATCCGCTCAGCAGCTGAATAAAAATACATTTGATAAATACCCTGTGATTGTGAATGAGAAGTAGGTAGGTATAAATGTGAGTAGCATCTTATAAACCAACCCTTTTTCGCTTTAGCTTCTAACTCTTGATCTCCTTGATACACAAATGCCATTTTAATGTGTTTAATTTAGTGCAAAATATTAAAATTATCATCTATTTTTCCGATTTTTCTAGTATTTACAAGATTTAACAAATCGACAAAATTAATTGCTATTTTAACGTTTTACAGAAACGTCACACTGACTTTGACAATTTATGGAATAACAGTTAAAAAGATATCATTTGCGACTATTGAGAGTATTCCGTAAGTGGAGACGATATTTGGTACCTACCATTTTCTTTGTTCAATAGGGGCGTGCGCGTACGCTGTACAATAAAACAAACAAGATGCTCACTTTTATTTCCAGAGCTTTGAATAACCTCTCCATAAATTAATTATAAAAGGTCAGCTTGGAGCAGTTGGAGCTGGTGGGGTTTTTTGATGAAAACGTTATTTTAAATGTATATTTTTAGAACCAATTTGTGTAATAATGAGTATTGCATACTTAAGCCTATACTAAAGGTTTTTGTGTTATGAAGTTTGTGATTTTACTACATTATTTTGACAACTTCCTCTCCAAAAAAGCCATGCTCGAAATCTCATAAAAATAATACAGCAGCACGCACACGGCACGGTAAAATAAAGATGATTAAAGAATGAATACGTCAACGTCAAAGCCGTAAAACTTCTATGAAAAAAAAAATACGTCAATGTTTTCACAGATTAGAGAGTATATTCTTTTTTGGTTAGTTTTTCCAGGGTGAAGAAACTTCCATACAACGGTCATGGAAGTGAAACTTGCTTCCAAACAGCGACATCGGTGAATAAATTCAAATACTTTTTAACTACTCTAAAACGGTCTAGATGTCGCTGCTCGTGTTTTCTTCATTTTCATTTTTTTTCTTAATTAAAATATATTTGAGAATATTGTTAATTACAATGTGAAAACTTTTTTTTAATGAAATTAATTTGTTTTAATTTAAAACTGAACATTGACATTTTTGTTATAATTTACATAATAGAGTAGTAGAAATTACTATTTAACATATGGCAACTTTGTTTTTCCTCCAAAATGGCCGGTGTTGTTTTTGTTATGTGAAATGCATTCTTGTTTTCTTATCCATCATTTAAGTTTTCTGTGGTCCTATTAAAGTATTGAAGAGTCGTCGAGTCAAATTCAAGTTCATTCCTTCGTACCTGTTGCTGTTCTGGTTCATCGGAGTTTTGTTCGTTCCTTCGTGAATCGCTAAGAAACTTTCTGTTATGTTCACAAGTGATCTGAGTTTTCTCAATGTGCAAATGCTTTTTTAGTGTTGTTGAAAACTTTGCGAAAAGACGCTTTTGGTGTATAATATTATGTGTGTTCATAAATAAAGTAAAATTATTAAATTCAAAAGTTTTTGTTTACTTATTTGCATTTCCATGTGCAATGTAGAATTTTTCCAAATCCATTGTTTTGAAAATAATACAATACGTACACCATAAAGATAAATATTTTCAAAATAATGGATTTGAAAAAAATCTACATTGTACATCATAAAAACAACAATTCTTTGAAGGTTATGAGGGCCTATGTGTGCGTGAACTGTGTGTATGTGTGCGTGGACTTTATGTATGTATGTGTGCGTGTACTATGTATGTATGTGAGCGTTACGTACGTAGGTTAAGTACAGGGAATTTAACACCAGGCTGTCAATTAGTAGGCTCAAAAATTTGACAGAGAGGGTTCTCTATTTCCTATGTATTACTTCTTACTTGTTGCACACATGCACACAGATATGTTGCAGTTAGCTGAACTGTCAAAAAAGCATTAAAAAGTCAACAATTTATTTCTTAAAACTACGTTTTAAACTATTAACAATATGTCTTAACTACAGCTGCACAGGTTTTGCTTTAATACATCCTAAAATTTATATTTATTTTTTGAATTATGGTGTCAATTATAGTTTGTGCGTTTGTAAGTTACAAGTCTCACTTGACATTCTATGATACCGACCGATTCATTTACATTCTTGTTTGGAGTCTTTGGAGATAAGTTTCTGAAGAAATGTAAATTGATGTTAATTTGTATAAATTGTTAATTGAGTAAACGTGTTGGAAGTTATCAGAGGACCAAGTAAGTTGCCGTTGTTTACACATTAATTAGGTGCACTCATTTTTAATTGTCCAATAGGCTATCTGAACGTAAACTGAAGCTTGAACCGATGTTATTGGAACGTTGTGTCAACAATTGATTCTATATTCTGATATTCTCCTTGTGTATTTAACTATCAGTTTACATTGAACCACTGTTCTGCATCAGTTTGCATACACTTGTGTAGTGAAGTTATTGTTGGTTTTAGCCACTATTATCTGACTAAGGGTATTATAATACAATCTGAACACTAGTAGTACATCATATTTTCCAATATGAACTATAAATGTATGTTATGTTTCATTATTTAGTTGAAACTGAAATGTGACTGGTTATTTCATCTTAATTTTTTTCTAAAGATGTACCAACAGCGGTGATGTCGTCGGTCCACTGTGTGGTGGTGTGGGAGTGGCAGAGTGGCGGCCAGTGGCTGCCGCACACGCCTGCAGTGACGCGCACCCTGGAGCGAGCCCATGCTAAGAAGCTGACGAGGGTTGTATTAGCAGATGCCGATCCAGCGCTCAGAGGGCACTATGTCAATTTGAGAACACTTACACAATGTTTGGATACTCCAGGTTAGTTTAATACCTACAAAAATGTAAATGTTGAAATTGATTTGTGCAATGTCTAACAGTAAAATAATTTATTGATGTAATAATTGGTGACTGGTAACTTGTAAATTCTTTTAATGTCTGCTATGGCATATAATCTATTTGCATCTTAACTTCCATTTGCGATTACCTATAAATGGCTAAGCAGATACATAATTTAAGGTCCCATTATTTGTATTGTATTGCTGTTGGTTATCCGAATAAAATAAAATAAAAAAAGAAAATAAAATAGATACTTATGTAAAAATGAATGCACAACTCACGACGCGATTTGCGCCCGCAGTGTGCGCGGTTGTATGGGGGTCCCGCTGCACTGGTGGGCAACTAGTAGAATCGCGCGGGCCGCGGTAACCGCAGCCCTTGCGGTTTTCGCCCGCGCGCTCTGCGATCGATTGGCGGGCGACCATTTTGTACCAGTGACTTAACTGCCCGTCTTGCGATAGTTGCCATTATCGCCCGCCACGTTTGCGGTCGATGATCGGCGACCGCGTAACCGCACAAATAATCGGTCCCGTGATAATCGCGCCATGAGTTCTTAGCCTCACCGAGCGGTTGGGTGTCGGCAGAGGGCGGGTCGGCGGAGTGCCTGGTGCGGCGCTCGTGCTACGGCGTGGGCTCGCCGGCCGGGCGCGGCGTGCGCTGGGAGTGGGCGCGCTTCACCGCCGCGCCGCACGCCGCCGAGCTCAACTACGAGCCGCTGCCCATGGAGGTACTGCGACCNGAGAGACTGCAGCACTGCTTAAGTCTCGATCGAATCAAAGGCCTTTTCATAGTCCAAGAAGAGCACCACCACGCTTCTATCCCATGCCTCTGGCGTTGTTCCCTGAAGTAAGACGGAGTTAAAGAGTCTCTGAACGAGTTTCGGTGTTCCACCTGCGTTCAAAAGCTCCGAGGTTATGCCGTCATCACCTGGTGCCTTGTTGTTCTTTAGTCCTAATCTCGTATAGGCTGATATACGGGATGTCTTTGGTATAGTGTCACGTTAACCTATCTCTTGCGTCTGTTGCTGAGCTATTAATAGGTTGGGAGGTATATAGCTGTCCATAGATCTTTTCGATCTCACCCAGAACCTCGGCTTTTGTTGACGTTACCGTCCTTCGTCTTCAGCATCGTCAGCTGACTTTGATCAATAGAGTTGTCTCTTTCAAGTTATTTGGAACCTTGGTTTCGCTCTATCGCCTCTTTTATACTATGTGTATCAAAGTAGCGAAAGAAACACAACTACGTAAAAATGAACANCCGTATAAAGGTTACTTTTTGTTCAAAAAGGTTACTTTTTTTTATATTTCTGGTAATTTCTGACTAGACCCGACTGGCAGCACTGCACCAGGCTGTCAATTAGTAGGCTCAAAAATTTGACAGAGAGGGTTCTCTATTTCCTATGTATTACTTTTCTCTATGAGTTTTTCGAACTTTGTTTTTATTTTAATGTTTTTACGAAATCTACGAAAAAGAAAGCCAAAACTGCAATTAATCCGCTCTTATCTGCAAACTTTAATCACTATGCATTAGTGGTGTATTTGTGTAAGTATGAATTCGTTTTTTTTTGTTATCACGACAGTGTTGGCAGGTTACCCTACTCTTTTCCAAATAAAATTATCAACACAATGTTTTTATCTATTTATCAACCTTCAAATCGGTGTAAGTACAAGCTACATCCGTTTCAGTATAGTTAAAGCTTCAACTCTAATAAAACTGTGTTCTTTACAGGTTTATGAATTAAAAGTTCCACATTATTCAAATAAATGGTAAGTTTTCAATAAAAAAATATTTTTAACTATTTATTTCCCAAAAATTATTCAGATTTTACTATTATTTGATATGGGCCAATGTAAGGTCAAACTTTCCTTTAGCTGAGTCTTATTTTTTACAGGAATCCCGGGTACTTGACAACATACTGAGTTTGCTCCTCAACTTTATGTTCCCGCTCAAAATGCTGCTTCGTGCCTACTCACTGTGCATCTTGCTGATTGACATAGCGTGGGTGGTGGTCAATGCCATCTGCGCTATATTCCAATCAACTTATGAGCTCTTCAAACCTCCACCACTAAAATCGGTTAAACTGGAGACTGCCCTGGTAAGTAAACACCAATATACATTTTATTTGGAAGATAAAGCGACATGTAAAGTGCCGCTTAAGGGCTACCTTTTTTACTGTATATTGACATTCATAAGTGCCCCTACATAGTGGTCTAAATTAAATTAAATATTTGTGACATTGCTTTTGTGTGTAAGAAAAATATGTAAAAAAACCTTGATAGTAAATATTTTCAAAAGTTCTGAAGTAGGTTGAATAAAACCTAAGTTGCATAAAAGTTGACTGTTAGATGTATTTGTGTGTTAGATTATAGGATATTGATTGTACTGTGTAATGATTCCAGATAATTGGTACCGGAAGAGGAGTGGGCCGTGAGCTTGCGATCCAGATGGCAAACCTAGGCGCAATAGTAATTTGTGTCGACAAAAACCAGACCAACAACCAAGATACTGTTGATTTCATCAAAAGCAAAGGCGGTTCAGCTATCAGCTACCTGTGTGAAATAACCAGGAAAGACAATGTGGACGATTTGGCAGCCAAAATAAAGAAAGAACTGGGATTTGTCAGCATGCTCTTCTATTGTTGCGGAATTCCCAGTCCAAGGTCTTTGTTGACGAAGCCACCTCAAGACATTCATGAGACTTTGGACCTTACGCTAACTTCTTATTACTGGGTAAGTTGGAAATTAATTCACACCAATAAAGCAATCCTTGTAAGATATAACTAAGATTCCTCATCAAATATTCTAGTTCTTTTAACACATTGAACGCCGAGATGCTAGACACGATGGAAATTGTATTGTTCGAGGCTCACCGGTGAGCCGCGTGGCGTCCAACGTGTTAAAGCAATTATCTAGTGATTGCATTCAGAGTTGAAATAATTTTATTAACATTATGCTCAGTCATAGATGAAAAAATTTATCTTTTTCAGCTCATAGATCAATTCATGCCAGTCATGAAAGCTAAAAACCACGGCCACATTGTAGCATTGACATCAGTAGCTGGCCTGAGCTACATTAAAGATCAGATACCACTAAGCGTCGCGCAGTTTGCAGTACAGGGCCTGGCCGAATCTCTGATGGAAGATCTGAGGATGAACAAGATTGATGGAGTTTATGTCACTCTTATACATATCTACCCATTCATTGTTAACAATGATAACACTGACTTGAGACTGAGGTACAGTATTTTTTTTATTAAGTTGTATCGTTTAGTCCTCCCTGTTGATTCAAAATCAAAATCAAAATAAAAAATATTTATTCAGTTTAGACCACAAGTGGCACTTATGAATGTCAATAGAAAATAATAAAAAAAAAAAGTAGGATTAAAATCAGGCACAGATTGTTTGCTATTGAATAGGTATCTCAAATGATTTTCATTACCATCCAGAGTCCACTGCAGAAGGAAACCCCCCTAACAGGGGCAAAGAGGAGGAGATGGCCTGTACTCCCCACACTTAGGACATCCATGGGAAGTTGGGGTGGTTCTCTTATAGTCTTATTGAACCATACGGCTAATACCTACTTTGTTAATTTTCAGAATACCAAGCTACTTCGGCACGATAACGGCGTCGCAGGCCGCAGAATCCATCTTGGATAGCGTGCGGCGTTCGCGCGCAGAAGCATCAGTACCAAAACGGTTGCTTGGTCTCGCGCGCCTGTTGCGAGTGTTGCCACGCCGCGCTACTGCCTTGCTGCGAGACTTACTTGACACCGGCGTGGACTTCGCGTGACAGTCGCGTGTTAACTTAGAGCCCTCGCCCACGGCGACTTTTTGTAGCGATGCAGTTGTACTGCTGTAGCGCTTTAGTAGCGCGTTGGCATCACTTCTGTAGTGCGTTGCAAATGCGACTAACGCGCGTTAGTAGCGATGCGAAACGCACTCGTTTACGAAACGCCGTGTGGGCGAGGGCCCTTAGCATATTATTATACAATTTAGCCACCAATGAGATTTGTGGGTCTCAGTGCTGCAAAGTTAGTCAATATTGAGGCCAAAACTTGTTTTAAGAAAATTACTATCTAGAATTTGATGTGGAGCTTGGACTTTGTCTCTGTAAGGTCAATGATAGTTAATTTATCATAAACAACAAAAACCCTTCTTAAAAGCATAAGTGAAAATGAGATAAGCATTTAATTGAAAAGTTTAATTATTGTAAGAGACTGAATATTTGTATTTTAATGGTTGCATTTGCTATTAGATAAGATATAGGTATATATTTTATATGATGTTTATATTTTACTAGACAAAATTTAATACCAAAAATTTAAACTTATGGGACATTTTTATGGATTAAAATGATAGTGATTTGTACTACTTGTTGTTTTCTTTCATAGACTGAACTGACTGGATTATCGGCCCCCCAAGATAAGTTTCAGGTTGAAGGACATCCTAAAGGTAGCTAGCTGGAAGGCGCTGGACGCAGGCCGCTACTAACCGGACAATATGGAAATCATTGAGGGAGGCATATTATTATGTTCAGCAGTAGACGTCCTAAGGAAGAGTTGCACCATCTAACTTTAACCGTAACTGTATCGATGACTGGTGTTTCTTGTTCGACTGTTTTCAACAATGATTTATTTTATAATCATTATTCTTCATTCGGCTGTCATTTATGTACTTTAATTTACAATTAAATAGGAAAATTTATTAAGGTGGAGAGACCTTGCAGATTTTTTCAACCAAATATTATTTTATTGGCGAAGTGAACAGCAGACAGATGAACTAATTTCTACTACGAGTTTTATTTTTTTTCTATGGCAATCATTTTTGACAAATGTCACTGACTCCTCGCTAGCGCCATCTGCCGACCCGTCCATCACCGTTTGTTTCGTTTTCGAGATTTGTTTCTTTTGTGGTTTGTGATAAAAACAAAAAACTGGAGACTTTTTGATTCAATGTGATTTTGGTTTTGAGTGTTTTTGCTAAAGTTCCAATAAGAGTTTACCGGATACAACAAATTGCGGCGATCCCGGCAATCGTGAGTTAGCACCATTTTTTATTTCACCAACACTAACATTATTCGATCGATATTAGAAAACTAATCATTTAAAATGATGAATTGACAAATTACTGTTGATAATCCGTGTTTCGAATGTATCTTTGAGACGCCGGCTATGTTTAATTACGCTGGCCCATTTAGAAATTGGACCAAAAGGTGACTTTCACGAAGTCCGCCTGTGTCGCACATTTTTAGTCGCTGTTACCGTATGTTTGTTGGGTAACGAAGTATTTTACCTTCGTTTTTGGGGCAAGGGTGCGGAAAAACTTTCTACTGAGATCAAAATCTTAAGTTAATTTAACTTTGCAACTAGATTTTGCAACTTTTTCTTATGACATTAAAAATAATAATCATTGTAAGGGTAGTTTTGTTGTGCCTATTTTAATGTTCAATTAATTGTCAGCTGTTAAAAATCTGTGTTAACATCGTGATGCACATTAGATTTAATTTGAGTCTTTGTTGGAAAAGATAAATAAAGTAGAAATTGTAAATTAGCAGCTGTATTTAATTGAATCATGTTACACTGGGCCATATTATTATTTTACAGACATTCTGGCACAGTCGTGTAAAAACATATTTGGGTTAAGATTTGGTACTTTTAATCTAAAAGTAATACTTCTTTGTTTCCAGAATTCCTCCAAACCTTTTCCTGTTCCTACACCCCACCTGATCTTGGCCGTCCAAATTCCAAATTTGTCTAGAAAATAAAATTATTAACATATTAAATATATTTTGTATGATTTTAAATAATGTGAAATATATCAAAGCCTTATAATGATCTCATAAGTATATATTTAGAGCACACTGTTACCATTTTCAAGTGTTTAAAAAAACATTTTATTTTTGTTCACCTTAGTTTTGTTAATAACATGATACTTTGTTAAATATCATCCCTTATAAACTAAACAATCATAATAAAGAGGACACAAACGGATGAAATGAATTTTATTATTAAAAACTTGCATTACTTTATGTTATGGTCAAAGTATTTATTTAACATCTTCCTAGCCATCGTTCCAGTATGTATACGGCTCATTTTGCTTGTAGTAAAATAGGGAGGACCTTCTGTTCTAAGGGAGGTATTCCTGCAGAGGCTGACCTATCACTGAAATGAAAAAAGAATAGAATAAAACAACTTCAAGTAACTTAAATAAATATCTACGGCCCAAATATACAGAGTGGACCAACAAGCGTGCTTTCCAAGCCAAGTGACTGCTCGACAAAGACCCTCCCTGAGGATTTCCATAACATAACATTCCTTATAGACATACCTACTTAAATCAAGACAATTTTTGAGCCAGTTCAAAAGACAAGAAAATAAGCTGTTGCTGTAAAAATCAATAAAGCGATATTCAATTTAATCAGCATTTATTTCTGGCACAACCTAGTTAAAATCATTCCAATAGTAGAATTTGACTGAAAAAAAAATCTAGGGCGAAACTACGAAAAATTGTGGAACATTTTTCATTAACACATGCCCAACATTCTACTGGCGACAGAAAGACATACTATTGTAATCTGCGGTACTTCTAAAAGTACTAAACAAGTAGGTATCTACCTAAGCTTTTAGTATCGCGGCGTTTTACCGAATTTTTACGTTATTGTTTTTCCAGCTTCAGTCCATGCTGTCTCTTTTTCGTATCTTTTGCTTAAATATTTGATAACGTATGACGCATTCTAAGCCCAAAGTCAAATTCAGCTATGCACATAAGTCCCTAAATATAGAACTTTAGTGCCCGTTTTCACCATCAATCCCTAATTTTTAAGTGACCCCTATGGTAACACGTAACAGGAATTTTGTTTTCATAGGGGTCACTTAAAAATTAGGGATTGATGGTGAAAACCGGCATAGGTCTACCTACGTAGTTAGACAATTCACAAGTTAACTTAGCTGCCTGTCTGGGATTTAATGGTCATAATTATTATTCAAAAGATTATCGTTATCATTACCTTCTGAATGCTCCCATTTTACCCATAGTTAGCAGTCTTATTTTTGAGGCTTCCATTCCTCGCTTTTTGATTAATTGCCGCCTAATGACAGAAGGCATTAGCGGCCGTAATTTATTGTTAATTTGATGGGAAGTTCGCCGATTCAATCTCATTTATCGGGAGGATTATAATTGACAACAAGGTCGATCCTTTTGGAAAGATTTAGGGCCGGTTTTCGGTTTCAGGGCTCGGTAAATCTAGAATCTGTCAAAGGTAAGACATCCTATCATTATTCAGATTAGCGTTGTGTATAATGACTACTAAGTTACTCAATCTATAGTCCTACTTTCAAAAATGAACGAAGTCATATCCTATCTAAATTGTGTCTCAACTCAAATCATTCATTATCTTTCTGAAGAATCTTAAAGTCTCATCAATTCATGTCCTGCCATCTTTGATCTGCTAAAGGAAATGACACGCAAACCACATGAATTCAACTGTGAAGCGTATCTTTTAAAAGGTTCTGACTAATTTTATTTTATTTACCGTGAAATGTAAAGTTCACGCTACACATAACAAAGAGCAGATATTTCGCATTTTAAAGCTACATTTCTGAACTACGCTACGCTCTATTAGAGCACATGCCATCATCGATTCCAATCTCCCTGGAAAATCAAGTCAGCTGAGAGCAGGGCGCTATAACTTTACATATTTTCCGAAGCCCATCATCCATGGTAAATAGTCTGGGTAAATCGAAAGAGGAATTGAGATGTTTTACGAGGATCGATCGACTGGTTGTAAAACTTTCTCAAATAAAGGTGCGCTTTGCAATGTAAAGAGAAGTTTCCCCTTAAATGTTATTAAATTATTCCTACTCCCTGTCCGTTTAATTTCTGTTGAATTAGTAGTGTTTGCAAACATTTGTCCACTGCTAGATAATGTAGCTATGAGCTTGAAATTAAAATAATTTTACGTTAATTACTAAATTATTCAGTTTGCTTATTTGTCTTCATTTATTTTTCAGTCTGTCGAGCAGAACTTTATGCTTTTGTTTTATTATTCAAAAGGTTAATTAATCATTCTGTTTATAAGATCTAATGTTTTTGTTTTAGTTGATAATAATGACTACAGGAACCTGGGATTCATTTTGAATACATTACTGAACAAAGACGAGTCGAATCCTTGATTAGGTTAGGTCGTACATGTGATACATATCCAATGATGTAAGTGTGGATGTAAGTAATATGTATAGATGTTACCTATCCTGTGCCCCAGTGACAAATTCATTTCTACTCGTATTTCCTAAGTTTTTTATAGGCTTTAAAAATACGTACCTATACATATACCGTGTTAAAAAACTTCGGTTATGTACAGCAGACGACAGCATGTCAAGCTAAATAGGATGGTCTCTTAAGAACTAAGTAATAGAGGCGATTTTTCAACTAAAATGTCACTATACATCGTCGTCTGTACATAGGTCTATGTACCAAAATAATTGACCAGCTGAAAGTTTCGCAAAAAGGTCCGGAGGCGCAGGTGCGTCCCGCCGATCGCTTTCCAAACTGCGGTTTTCTCCGCAGTTAAATTTGAATAAACCATTATTCTGAGAGCGGTCCCTATTATTATACGCCCGGCTCCTTGCCTTCAATCTGGACTTACAAGTTTCACAGATCCTTTCTCATGTCGGCGAGAAAGGCTTGTGTAAGAGCACTCACTTTTAAGGTTGCATTATGCATATTGAACGGACTGCATAAAGCATATAAGTTAAGTATCCCGTGAAAAATATTTAACTGTTTTTATTATTTCAATTTCAAACTAGGTAGCGTGACTGTGTTTTACAATAATGCAGTTATAAATATTTCCTAGTAGATCATGTGTTTACCCTACCTTTTGAGTCAGAACTTTCCGATACTTTCCACTTTCCAGTCTGAAACGACATTATTTGAAATGCATTTAATCACCTTTTTAATGAATTTACTTTTTTAAATCCAAATCCATTGAAAAATCCCAAGCAATTTTATCTTGAGCGGGACTAATGCGGTAGAATGTGCCAGATAAATTTCCCCTCACTGATCACTCCAGGCTTACCTGGGTTTTAATTACTGGGGATAGTGCGTCCGAGAGATAAAACCGGAGAAATCTAGGTCAACCCGCTCTAGGCTTAGCCTGGGGCCATAGTAAACAGGTAAAGCGGTAGGCTACATGCAAATGGTGCGTAGGCGGTGCATATCGACGTAAATCTAATGCAAATAACAATCTCGTACTCGATTCTGATAATAAGTATGTACCTACGTATGACTCAAGAGATCCTCCGAGAGAAAATTTCTCGCAGGCAGATAATAAAAGTTGAAGTTTAAGGCATACTCTCGTCCGTCCGTATTCA